CAAACCGTACTAACGGCATTTTCATTTATTTAGAAGCACTCCACGTTCCATTGAAATATTACTAAAAAGGTTTTAATTTTAAACATAGGTTTTTTTTTGTAATTTAATGTATTCCACAAGGTCTCATCTATGAAAATGCAATGTAAACTTTTTTTTACGGAAATATGGTATATACAAGGTGGTACACAAAGACAACTTCCTTGGCATATCTCGCCTTCAGTTGGCAGACGCAAATAACAACATAAATAAATGTTTCAAATATTTTCAAGTTCTATCAAATTCAGTTCATTTGTTTAGGAGTTCAAACATAACAAACATAGACAGTTATAATAGCTTGACTATACGGATTACCTCACCAGTACAATTTATCTCAACTGTCATCGCTAACCTGTCCACTGCTGCTTCAGCTTGGTAATCTGTTACGCTTGTCTAAATAAAATATCTACTCGATATTGGTAAACATATGTACATTATTTACTCTTGACTCGCCTTGAGGGAGCGTAGTGATAAATACTGTTATTCTTTCTTCATGTGTGAAGAAGCCTTTGCTCAGAAGGAAGGGTTATTAGTTTTATTTGGTTTTATAGGGTGGGAAATTATGACATGAGGAACTCTTACCTACTGACTATAAACTATCGCGTTCCTTCTCCTGCTAGAATTTCGCAGTACATTATTGCGATTGCACCCATAAGTGCACTGATTTTCATAAGTAAGACCATTCTTCGATATATTTGATCTTTTATGAAATTATATATAAACTAGTTAGTCTCGCGCGGTTTTACCCGCTGCTCTGCTTTGACCGTAGCGTGATGTTTTATAGCCTATAGCACTCAGGAACATTGTAGCTACCTATCAGTGAAAGAATTTTCGCAATCCAACCAGCGGTTCCAAAGATTACCCCCTACATACAAACTTACAAATATCTCTTTATAATAGTATGGATCATTTTGATCACCCTCTTAACCTTTGATATCTGCGTAGATTTAATATCAACGATATCTCATCGAGCCTCTCGGTATATTATTTAAATGCGTCTCATTAATTCGAGACGCTGCGTGCAAGATTTACAACCGTTTAATATTCAGGTTCTTGCATAACCAAATATCTAATATTAGTTGCTTACGTCATGCAAAAATGGAAAGAGAGTTGAGTAAGGATAATCGGATATTTCAATCTTCCTTACTGAGGGTTTTGTTGCTTTGTTTTCTTTGTATTTGAAGAGTAAATGTTAATCTTCGGGTAAGAAAAACGGTTTTATCATGTGCGCGCCTAAAGCCATTAGACCAACACAGATGAGGCTGACTAGGGACAATGTCTAGATGTGAACCCCCGTTCACAGTAAGATTGTTTTAATCTTACTTCAGTGTGGGAAAGAGACAGAACTATTGTCTAGCTCTTTCTCTTACCCACACTGAAGTCAGATCAGATCAGAGCCAGATCAGAGCAGGAGAAGGAAAGAGGTTTTAGTCAGTAAGAATCTGACGATCATCTTGCCCCACTCATAGCGAGATTCCACTGGAGTATTTTCACCCTTCAAAAGCACCACAAAATTTGATTGAAAGATGCTTGATGTATTATAGAGGGTAAGTTCTCAGCGATCATCTTCATATTAAAGTTTGCTCAAGTTATTAATAAATCTATTGTTTTCTTTGTTATGTACACATACACAATATTCAGATGATAAAATTCTGTATTTACCAGTTATAAGTAGACAGATGTTCTTATAATAAAAAGTACTTACGTCAACTGTTGTATTAATATTTGGCGTAAAACTGTAAACGATTTGTATATATGTATATTAAAAGTAAATGTAAAAAATATATATGTATATACTTTCCACTTGCAGCCATAATTCCTTGCAGCAAATTGAATTTGCCTAATATTGATTCCTGTATTTTAAAGCAAATATTTCTCAAATAAGTACTTAAATTGGAGTAAAATACAAATGCAAAACGAAATCGCGTTTTGTTTTTCTTGACAGTTCGAAGGCTTTGTAATCTTAAGATAAGTCTTTCACATTGATGAACAAATATAATCTTAAGCATTACTATGCTTAAGTCTGGTAAAATGTAAAAGCAAACACATTTCAAAGCGAATCGATTCATGTAAATGTAACATAGTGTATTATGGCTGAATCTTTTTTATTCGATAAAAACAAAAGTACATATCTTTAGTAAACATTGTAAAATACCACCCACTATACACACTATACAGATATACTTTGCATGCCTAATAATAGAGGAATGATTACCAGGCCACCTATATAAGGCGATTTCAAAGATACTTATGTTTGATAAAAATGTTCATCGCACAAACCCAAGCAAGGCTTCATCATTAATCAATACGGCCTTGTTATTAATTGTAATTGTAACATTATAAATAAAAGTTATATTTAACCTAAATACACAAATAACTCATAAAACTATCTGAAAACTACTCTGATAGGGTCGAGAGAACGATTATAATTAATATTAAAATACGAAACTAAAATTACAATTTAAACTTTTCATGGTACTTCAAATTATTATGTTATGAGTTTTCATGGGTAAGGTCGGCAAGCGAGTCGATGGGTTACCTGAGGGTAAGCAATTGACTTTCGCAACATGGAGGAGTTACAAGTAGCTTGGGACGTTTGATTTAGATAGGAAAGTAACACTTTTTATAAATATTTTTTTTATGACAGCATCTATTTTACGGCGCATAATTTGAATAATTGGGTAGTTTCCTAGGTCAATAACAAATTATTTCGACGTTTCAATACAATAAAAAATTGAAAAATAGCTATACTTTTATTCGTTGATCGATCGATACACTAAGTTAAGATATTTTTAGCTAATTTTTTAGAAATAAGTAAGCTATTTGACGCAAAAATACTATGACGTCATAACTCAGTTTTTCATAATACAAATTTCATAGAAAAGTATCATTTTTGACATTTTGATAAAAGTATTGAATTGGACTAGTTGGAAACTACCGTATTGGTTAGTTAAAGTAAGTACCAGTTAACAAATGCAAATCAACCAAAGAATTGCTTGTTGGAATGAAACACATTAAACTGGGACTAAAAGCTAATTGTCTAGTCATGACGCTAACTATGTCTAATTATCCGTCTACCCTTTGGGTAAAACATTGGTTTATCTATCCATCTATATTATTATTGCGTTTTCAAATCTCAATCAATGGGCATCTGAACTTAGATTACTTGGCTTCGCTATTTGTAAACAGTTTATGTAAATATCTTGTAATGATATTGATCTGCAACTGAGGCAAGTTTCAGATTCATTTGTATTTGACCTAGATAAGTTATTTTGGCTGAATTTTCATCACAATCCGACAATTACAATCTTATAAATTGTTTAATATAATATGTTTGACAAAAATGAAATCTTTGACTTTATTTACCTCACGTCTGGATTATACAAGATATCGTAGATATCTGCGACCTCAATGTTAGTTTCAGTGTTTTCGAAAACAAGTCAGATATTAAGTTGTGTGGGATTAGCAATCTGAAGTGGCAGTGGGCAGGTGGCACTCTAGAACCGGTTCTTCGACAGACATGTGCTGTCGAAGAACCGGTTCTAGAGTAGAGTAGAGACCACGTCTAGGCAAACGTAGTGTAGGGCGCCCTCTAGCTAGGTGGACTGACGACATCCGCAGGGTGGCTGGCAGTGGTCGGATGAGAAGAGCTGAACATTGAGCTCAGTGGCGTGCAATTGGGGAGGCCTATGGCCAGCAGTTGACGACACCAGGGTCGATGATGATGAAGGTGTGTGGGAGAGCCATGTTTCGTTCCGAACCGGATGGCTCCATGGGATTAATTCTATATTGTCACACAAATCAACGTTTTTATGACGTATGAGAAAGATTATCGTAGGCCCATTCCTTTCTTATTTCTAACTACAAAAAGGTCAACGATGCACTTGCAACTTTTCTGCGGTACTTTTGCTTACTATCAGAATCAGACAGTCCTTTTTTATAAAGCGAGAAATAAAGAAAATTTACAGTTTTACCTACTATCTAACCTCTTTGGGGATAAAAAAATCGTGTATTAGAACTGATTCCAAAATTCTGAAATTGTATTTAATTAAGTTCTTTCTTCATTTATGATTTACTAATAATAAAAATAACTCATGTGACGCTTGTGGAACATTATCTCATAATTTCTGTCTTCCGTATACATTGAACAGAAATAAAAAGTTTCATGATTAGTTTCAGTTTCGTCTTTCAGGCTTCTGTTAAATACTTAAGATTTTAGTCTACGTATGTATATATTACAGATGGAGTAGAATTTAAATCTAGTTTATCAGTATTACTGTCTCTTTTATCTAGTAATGAAAAATGCTTACAAACCCAAAAAAACTGACTTGTACGTGAATGATTGGATGAGTAATGAAAAAGACTCCTCTCTATCGCATAACGCAAGAAAGAGATGGCGCTCGCTGTCATGTGAACATATTGCTCCTGTATTAAATTCATTTAAAATTTATTTATTAACAGTATCTACAAAAACACATTATAACAGTGAACAGAATAGTGCAATACATGTGTGAAAGTGTTATCAGAACCTATTATTCACTATATACTTAATAAACATCATCTATAAAGTGATCAAACATTGTGACTACGGCGGCGTCGTGAGTGATAATAAACAAATATTTCTAACTAATCCAGATAGTTACGTGATCAATAACGACTCGTAAAACCCATAAAATATACACTTAACAAAAACAATATAAACGAAGCAATAAATTCAATATTCAAAAGGTGGAGCTTGGGTGGCGGTAAAAAAAAATCTTTTTAAGTTATTATCAAGTGTCGGGTATCTCAACGAACTTTCTGCCTCGAAGGGTCAACAGATCAATAATTTCAATGCTTATACCAATTGCATCATAGAACGATTATCGTAGTCGTTGCCTTACACGCAGTTCAACCTGAGATCGATCCCCACACCGAGATTGTCTTTTTGTGAATGTTTGAAGACTATTATAATAAATTTCAAGATGAATTTCTACGAAAACATTACTTTTAGGAAAACAAAGACACGTTCCTTGACAGAAAATAGTTCCATAGAAAATAGTCCAAACAGTTCCAAGATAGATGGCAGCACCGGTAGCTTGCCAAATATATCCAACGATACAAATGATTTACAAATTCAGGAACTTCAAAGCCAGATCCAACAGCTCAATCTGCAACTAAATTCAGCACACGAGGAGATTCAAAACTTAAATTTAGAAAATACTTCGCTTAAAAACGTAGTCAAGGAACTAACAACTAAATACGATATCTTAAAAAAAGCCACTAAGACATTAACCACTGAATCAGTAACACCTGGCAAATGCATGCATACTTCATCGGCTCCTCGTGCACACAAGAAAAATAAGAAAAGGGAATGTTACAAACCCCCCTCTAACATCAACCAAGAAACTAGCAGGACTCCTGCTGTTCTTAAATCTAGAAACCAAGTTAATCAAATGTCAGAAACTGTGAACAAACCTGCCAAGAATAAACTATGTATTTTAAGTGCTAATAAAACTAACGACATTACCTCTATAGCTAAAGAAACATTTGAAAACTTGCAGGTATGTCACTATATATTGCCAAATTGTGGTTTGATACAACTAGTAAGTAATTTAGATAAGAAATTAGCAAATTTTTCTACTTCTGATTACTGTATCATCTTAATCGGCGAAAAAGACTTCCAACAAACAGGAAACTATGTTAATATTATTATTGAATTAAGGGAGATACTTCTCAAAATACAACATACAAATGTTATTTTGTGTGTTCCTACTTTTAAATTAAGTAATTATTCAACAATGTTTAACTGGCGAATTGAAACTTTCAATAACTTGTTACACCTTGATCTTCAAACATATGGATACGCGATTGCATTTGACTCTAATTTGGATCTGCTGTATGATTTTACGATGTTTTCAAAAGTTAATAGAAAGGTAAACAACCACGGAATGCGCAATATCTTTCGTAACCTACTGCTGACTATAAATGCTCACTCAACTGCATGTGAAGCATTAATTAATGAAAATTCAAACAACAATTCCGAGGGTATACAACATATTTACAATAATATACTCGATAATGTAAATGTTGACTATAATTACAACGGTTATCCGCTGATCACTCCCACAAGAGCTAAGCCTAAAGTAGATAGTATTAAGTTTTTTCTCGCAGAGCAAGTCTCGCAAAAAAAGACTAATTGTAATAATAATAAACTCTCTTACAAAAAACTAATTTTGTACTATCAAAATGTCCGAGGTCTCCGGACAAAAACTGTAACTTTTTTTAATAATATTTGTGCATTGTCATGTGATCTTGTCGTCCTCACTGAAACTTTTCTTAATAGTTCTGTATACGATTCTGAGCTATTCCCTCCAGAGCATATTGTACTGAGGAAGGATCGTGCGGGTGACGTAGGATGGGGTGGTGTACTTTTGGCTGTGAAGAGTAATATAAACGTTAAAAGAATTACAAATGTAGACGATTTAACTGATGATAAGGAATTGTTGTTTGCTATTGTAACGCTAAAAAATGTAAAACTTTTGGTATGCGTTGTTTACTTACCCCCTAATTACAGTGACAAGCAATACTTAGATGTCTTGAATTGTATAGAAAATGCTGTCGACACCTTTTCAGATTATCCAATTGTAATAGTTGGAGATTTTAACTTGAAGTCTTGCAATGTATCTGTTCAAACTCAATTTTATAACTTTTTAGAGTACTGTAAACTACGTCAGTGTAACAATGTTTGTAATGATTATGGATGCATTCTGGATTTCGCGCTGACTACTCTTAGCACCCAAAGTATTAATGTGACTTCGGACATTGAGCCACTCGTTCCTACAGATGCTTACCACCCCCCGTTAGAGATACTGCTTTCGCTACCTGTTAATACTGTTAACAAAATCCCAACATCGGTGACGCCTGAACAGTTTTCAAGTTTGAGTTCGGAGTGGAATTTTCGTGGAGCTGATTTCCCTGGATTGTATTCTGATATTGCAGACATAGACTGGACGGACCTTTTACGGGAACGGGATGTTGACCTGGCTGTTGAAATTCTATATAATAAACTTAACAGTGTAATCAGTGCTAGAGTCCCTCATAAAAAAGTAATTTTGAATAATAAATACATTTATCCTAAATGGTATACACAAGAAATAATACATTATATCAAACTAAAACATTTTAATTTAAAAAAGTATAAAAGTTCTGGATTAGAATGCAACAAACAATTATTTAAATACTACAGAGGCAAAGTAAAAGAATTGATTAAAATAGAATTTAAAGAATATATAGTAAGGACAGAAAGTAGAATAGCGCTTGAGCCCAGTAATTTTTGGAAATACGTAAAGGATAAACGAAAAAATATGTCGCGAAGTAATGAATGCATATTTAATGGTAAGGTTTTAACAGGTCAAGAAGCTATTGATGCGTTTGCTACTTACTTTAGTTCAAATTTTCATGATACTACTCCCTTATTAGACGTAGAGGCTGCTGAACGCGGCGTAATTAACGCAGCGTCAACATCCACGGTCAGTATAGACCAGATCAAAATTACAGACCTACGACGTGCAGTGTAACGTCTCAAAACAGCGTCATCATACGGCCCTGATAATATTCCTACATTTTTAGTAAAAGACTGCTTGCGTGTTTTGGAATTGCCTGTATTATACGTATTTAATATATCGCTTCAACAAGGTATCTATCCTACAAGATGGAAAATGTCCAGGGTAACTCCCGTACCTAAAAGTGGCTCATCCACGGATGTCACTAACTTCAGACCAATTGCAGTGTTATCAGTGTTCGGAAAGTTATTTGAATCCATTATTAATGCGTATATTTCAAAACAAATCAGACCCCTATTGGATAATTGTCAGCATGGATTTAGGCCTGGACGCTCTACTCTAACCAATCATATTCAATTTGTAGATTACGTGAATAGCAGAGTCAAAACCGGTTGCCAAGTCGATGCGGCATATTTTGATTTTAAAAAGGCATTCGACCTAGTTGATAATGATGTTCTTATATCAAAATTTGCTTCCATTGGATTTACAACACCACTTCTAAGATTCATGGCCAATTACTTAAAGGATCGCAAGCAGTTTGTTAAAGCAGGAGGGTATATTTCTCAAGAATACTTCACTCGCTCTGGAGTAAGTCAAGGGAGTACCTTAGGTCCTACGCAGTTCCTCATAATGATTAATGACTTACCTAAAGTCATCTCAAAGGCACAATGCCTAATGTTCGCTGATGACCTAAAACTTTACCTCGCAATAGGCGGAGTTGACGATTGTGCAGCTCTGCAAGGCGACATTGGCGCAGTGGTAGAATGGAGTGCAAAAAATAATTTGTCTTTTAATAGCTCAAAATGCAAAGTGTTAACTTTTTCTCGGTCTCGTACTCCAATCACAGCGACATACCAGCTAGCGGGCACTACATTGGAGCGCGTATTTTCAATTCGCGATTTAGGCTTAATTATGGATGCTAAATTAAATTTCCACGATCACATTATTCAAATATGTAAAGAAACAAATAAATGTTTAGGTTTTGTGATGAGAACGTCGTATCAATTTAAAAATATAAAAGTTATAAAATTATTATACAATGCCTATGTGCGGAGTAAGTTGGAATACAATGCCATTGTTTGGGATCCTAGCGAAAACCTTTATACAATGATGGTGGAAAAAATACAGCGAAAGTTTGCCAGGTATCTCTTCAAACGCCAGTTTGGATACTATCCATTCTTATATCCGTCGATGTTTGTGTCGGGAATGGTAGGCCTGGATACTTTACAATTTAGAAGAGAGTTTAGGAAAATAATGCACTATTACCTATTAATCGCAAACATAGTAGACAATCCTACAGTGCGAGAGAGCATTTATTTTTATGTACCCAACCAATATATACGTGGCATTGGCAGACGACAGCATAAGCTCTTATGCTATCCACCTGAGTGGTCCTCGCGCCAAGCAGATAACACTCCCACTGGCAAAGCTATCAAGCTCATCAACTATTTCCTTCAGACGAATCCAGGTGCAGATATATTTTTCGATTCGCGAAGTGTTATGAATAATAATGTTCGATTATATTTAAATTGGAAATAATAATTAATAATAACTGCTTTTAATAAACATTTAAATTCCGATTTGTTATTTGTAATAACTAATTAACTATAATGAATATAATGTAATTTTTATCTAATAATTCTGTAATACTTTTAATATTGACTTGTATATTGTAATAATTATAATGTAAATGTAGTATGTAATAGTAGTGTAAGTACCTATAATATAGATATAAGCGATTTGGTGGTAAACTGTTAGCTTATGTTCTACTAAATAAATAAATAAATAAATAACACTACATACCATCATCTACTAATATGTCATACCAATTTTTCCAGTATTATTGGTTGTGTATTTGGATACACAAAAATAAACATTTATTCATACCTGCTTTCAATCTATACGAATGGATAAAACTGTATAGAAATAATATTGTTCTGAGAATTGTGATTGCAATCAATAAGATACAAACAAAAACAGAGTTAGCTATTAGATGTTTGCGTGTCCTCAGTTAGTTTTATATTGTACACAATTGCTTAGATCTCAGACTTTCTATGAAAAAAATAATAATTTTAAATTGTAAATTTCTAAAGGTTGATTTTTACTTGATATTATTTTGAGTGCTTAAAAGATGAAATGTGTGATATTATTATCTGTAGGAATTATTGAATAAAGCAAGTATTAACTTTAAATATTGTGTAATTTATTTCTAAAGACGTAAGCGTTACAAACGTGTGTCAAAAAGTGAAAAAAAAAAAAGAATTGAGAACGCCACACAGCAGCAAAAATGCGAACTACTTATTTGATTGCGTTCCATTTCTAACATCCACCCCTGAACGCAAACCCATTTTTGCTATACAATATAAGTTTTTATGCTCAGTGGTCCCCTTAGTTAGTATATCTGCAATCATATTATCGCCTCTACAATAATTAAATTTTATCTCTAAATTATTTACATGCTCTCTCAAAAAATGATATCTTATATCAATATGTTTTGAACGGGGTAAATAACAATCATTGGCAGACAATTTTATAGCACTTTGATTGTCACTAAATATGCAAAGCGGTCCATTTGAAGGCTGGCCGATCTCGATCTGCAGCTGTCGCAGCCACAGGGCCTCCTGCGCTGCTGATGACATGGCCATGTACTCCGCCTCGGCGGTTGACAAAGCCACCGTTTGTTGTCTCCTGGAGCACCAGGACACCGCGCCTCCCTGAGAAATAAAAACATAGCCCGTGCAGGACTTTCGGTCGATATTATCGCTGGCCCAGTCTGCATCACAGAAGCCTCTAAGATTTGGTTGATCATCTTTGGTATAGGTGAGCTTCAAATCTTTAGTTCCCTGTAAATATCGTAGTACTCTTTTGACTGCTGTCCAGTGTTCTGCTCTTGGTTCTTTATTGAACCTACTGAGAGTATAGACGGCAAAGGAAATGTCAGGCCTTGTACCTTGAGCAATTATCAGAGGTCCGTGGATCGGAACCACGCTCTGCTACCATGTAGGAATCATTGAATAAAGCAAGTATTAACTTTAAATATTGTGTAATTTATTTCTAAAGACGTAAGCGTTACAAACGTGTGTCAAAAAGTGAAAAAAAAAAAAAGAATTGAGAACGCCACACAGCAGCAAAAATGCGAACTACTTATTTGATTGCGTTCCATTTCTAACATTATCCAACCTACACAGACGTTATATAGTAAATCTAAGTAACCGTGTTTTAGGGCAAACGAGATTTATCTAAATATTTTCTGAGACTAGCCGAACGTGACTAGTTTATAAATTTAGTTTTTCAAACAAGGACTCGTATCCTTGAAGGTATGTAAATCGTTGAAATCATAAAATCAATAAAAATATACAACACTGTATTCCAATCTCCATCTCTCCTGCGGCTATTTTGAGTCGCTACGAAATTCGCTACGGCGTAGCACTATGCTACGAGGTTGACTACGCCGTAGTGTCAAATTAAAAGTACGATTTTGAAGCTTGCAGTTCAGTTAACTTTTATTAAGGTTTTCATTTTATAAAGGCTAAAATAAAATGTATTAAAATATATATGTATTGAATAGTATAAGAATGTAAACATGACATTGAACGATCCATATAAATATTTCCAATTGCAGATGTAATCTCACAGTTTTTTTGCCATTCTAGTGTTTTTTTTTGTGCACCAACAAGGTCTAGGGCACGTTCGTAAAGAAAAATACTCTTTGGAAAAGTACCGGCGCCTGAATAAATAAGCCGAGAGCAATCTATCTTTGAACAAGGAATGGCGTAAAATGTATAAAATCTCGATGAACGACAACAGCAAAAATCTTCGTATTTCATGATTTTAGTAGGAAATTGGGATTCCTGTCTATTTTTAGTGAGGAAATATGTAGTTAGTGACGGAATATTTTTGTAAAAATTTCTTGTAGACCGGTCTAAATTGAAATTTTTTGTCTAGTTTACTTATTACTCACAGACCCATTTATTCGTGCTGCCTTAAAATGTATATTACACCTATTTCAAACTTGGATTCTAATAATAAATATCTAATATCACTTGCAAAACAGTTTGAATGGGAAAGAAAATTTATGTTTTACATTTTCATATTATTATTATAATACATTATTACATTACCTATATTTTTTTCAGTACATTTTTTGTTTACTTACTTTGAAGCCTTCGTCTAATTATTATCAATATAATGAATCCAATCCGCCAGCCATTTTGTGAGATTAACAAACAGTTGACGAATTTAATATAAGATTATCTTTATTTAAATTTTAAAGCTGATGAGTTTGTTAATTTTTTTTTTAAGTTGAATTTTCTACTTTCACACTTGGATTTTTCGTGTGGCGTGGGTGCATTAGATACATTTTAACATACACGTGACACTCAGACTCAAACAAAATGTTGCAGATTGGACAAAGAGTTAGTCCAAGCTAATTTGACAACTCCTGCTGCATTATATTCATATATTAGGGAACGCTGACGCATATGTTTCGACTATAGCTTGTAAGTTAGTATAGTGAATATTGGTTTCCTCCTTTTTTTTATTATTTAATTTAATTTCAATTGTAATTTTAGCACTGTATTTAATAATTTTTTAATCCGTAATTTTTAATTTAATTTAATTGGTAATTTTTTTTAAATAAGTTTTCACAATGTCATAATTATTTGTATGTAATCTTAACTTTAACTAAGTAGTAATAGTGCATGCTGTGCTTACCTATAAGAGATTGTTACACAAGTATTGTATTATGATGAATGTATTTAATATTTTATTGTGTAAACTATTGTTGGTGAACCAAATAAATAAATAAAAATAAAACAATTAAAATAAGTTCATCCGAATAAACCTCAGTTGTTCCGTACCCTAAAACTATGTCTAACTATGTCTAACTGTGAATAGTTAATCTGTGATTGGTAAAGTGAAATAAATTCACTTAGTATAGTATATTGTATACTATACAAGTTTTTTTTTATCTCTATACACGATCCTCAAACACATTACACACGCATATACAACATATTCAAAGTAAATAAAAAAAAAATGATTGATACAAACAGTCCGGAAGATCATATCATTTTCAGTTCCTGAGTGAGAAATTGATAGCGTAATTTGAACCTTCAGTATATTCAGATTACGTTATAAATTGCTTGTCTAATTAATTCGCATTTGTTATCGTATTTGATCACTATGAAAGCTGTCTAATTATATCATTAAACATTATTAATAGTACAGAGGAATTCCAATCAATATAGCGTATAATTAAATAAGGTCGTAAAATCAATTATGTCTCTTTAGAAATCCCAATCGTAGATAAAATTACACAACATGAAACGTGAATTAGTTGGAAAAGGCTCTGTTTTGCACAAGGTCAAATGAACATATTTTTTTAAAAAGCTGTTAGGTGCTATCTTAGTGTAAGATTAACAAACTTTTCCGTCGTCGGTATCGTGCTCAATGTACATTATAAATATCATGACACCCAGACTCGGAAGAATTGATTTGTGGATAAAATAAGGAGTAGTTCTGGTCGGGAATTGAAACCATGAAAATGACAGGAAAAAGGCTGAATTGGAACTCTTTATGGGGGAGCCCATGACAGAAATTAAATTCAAAGGCTATTCAAACTCTTGAAAATGAAAGTCAATGTATGATATTGATATTAATATGTCGACCCTATAACACACTTTAACAGCTCACCCTTAAAGGCCATTAAATAAAATAAAACCAAAAATAATCGAATTGAAAACCTTCTGCATGTAAATATATGATTTTAGAACCTTTTTAGGTGAAACCGAAAACGATTTGGTTTAAAATAAATAAAATATTCTTAAACTTAAACTTTTTTTTGTTCACAGAAACAAAACGAACGATGGACATGACTTAAACGGAGTCGTACCAAGATGGCGTACATCATATGCTTCATTCTTCTCATACTTACAAGAACCAGACTTTCGATGGAAGAAGACATGAACACAGACCTAGGAGATTACACAGCAGAATACAACAAAACCGATATTTATGACGTCTATAATATAACAAATGAAGAAACGAGTAGAACAAATGCTCATAGCAAATGCAAAGTGAATAACAATACTGCAGAAGAAGACTACATACAGACTAACATAATAGATTCAATATATTTGGACAATATGGATTCAAATTTGACGTCGAACTTGATAGACGAAGAATTTTCGGTAGATGGGATGGAGATTGATGGAGTGAATTTGTTTGATATTGTGGATAGTGATTGTGGAGGGGCTACAGTATGCCCAAGTGTCAATTGGAATTGGCCCGATGATAAGACTATAACTGTTGGGTTCCTAGGAGCTTATGCAAGTAAGGTAAGTTGACAGCGCTTCATTTGTTATTTATTGAATTAAGTGGTTTTTAGTAACCTCTTAGTCATCCATCTCTGAAGTAATTATAAACTTACTTTTTGTGTCATTTTTCACATCTAGGGTTATGGGTTTCTTTTTATGTGATAGGTCGACAAACATACAGACGGATTACCAGATGGTAAGCAATCAGCGCCGCCCATGGACACCTGTAACAACAGAGGAGTTACGAGTGCATTGCCAACCTTTCGTGGATTAGGGATTTGGAGGTTTAGGGATTGGAGAGGGGTTAAAGGAGGGGAAGGATTGGGCCTCAGGTAACCTCACTCACACGGCGAAATACAACGCCGTGATTGTTTTCCTGTGAGGCAGTGGTATAACTCCAGTCAAGCCGACCCTTTCGTGCTGAAGCATGTCTCTCCCACGTAAAAATGGGTGCAAATAACTTGGATGAAAATATCAGTGTTGTTACATTTTAAAAAAAAAACGCCACACTATGTTATCTCTCTAAGATGACTTATCCTTTTACGAACTATCCCTATTCTTAGTTTCAAGGCTTTTGTTAATTCAATCTACGTTTTGAACACACATAATAGATTTTCGACCGAAGTTTAGCAACTCTAGAAGTTTTGGGATGATCACGTATGTAGCTTTTGTAAATAACTGAGCGTGGGTAGATTTAACTTTAAATAGAACCTATGTTAATTTATCACGAACACTTCTAAATACAACTAAAACTGGAAGTTATAAGCCCTAAACTGTGACAGTTTTCTAAACTTAAATTATATATAAATTAAATTTAAAATATATTGTTTACGTATTGATTCTTGGTTAAATTATGTTTGACGGCTTGGTTATTAATATCAAATGAATTCGTGTCACAGACAGGCCTTGATTTATAACTATAGGTTTTGCTACACTATTTATAATAATTTGTTTAAACGTATACCGAAAATATTTTTATGATTATAGTTTTTTTTATTTGTATGTGCGTGTCTGTGTGAACTCAAACATGAGATTGGTAATGAAGCGGGGCTTTTGGAGTCAGATCGGTGGTCGTGCGTAAAAAATAGATAAAATGAAACAATTCCTTATTTTTTTGTTTAAAATTACAAAACAATATTACGAAAAATTTAATCATTTTCTAAAACATTCTGGAAATGACAAGCAATTAAATTCTTCTGCCATTAAATGTCATTGATTTTGACAATTAATGGCAGTAGAATTTAATAAGTCCGGTCAAACGTTACTAATGGCCATTTTTGATAGGTTAAAACATGTTTGGCTTTATTTTAGTTTTTTGGCTATCCATTAAGTATGCTTTTGTGTTCTAGTGAGGTTTAATAGTAATGTATTATAGTAAATACTTGTACTCATATCATGGCGTCAGTTTTCACTTTTTACTTTGGACGCCATTATTTTTATTAGCTCGTTAACTTTACAAAGCTGAGTGGTCGTGGATTATGTAGTTGACATTATTTTTTATATATTATTGTTCAGTACATTGCTTAGTAGTAGTTTGTAGTTAAGTACAGTTTGTAGCTTACAGTGATTTTAAATCACTTTTTACATGATTTAAATATAATACTAACATTCATCATCATCAGTCTATAAGTGTCCACTGCTAAACAGAGGCCTCATCTCATACAGAGAAGGTTAGAGCATTAATCACCACGCTTGTTCAATGCGGGTTGGCGATTTCAAACTTATAATTAGAAATTACAAGTTTACTCACGATGTTTACCGTGTCAGTGGTGTCTAAATAATCATAGAAAGTACATATAACTCGGAAAAAGCCACATTGGTAGGTACTTGCCAGGTTTTGAACCCTCACCCTCATGCATGAGAAGTGGGCTCCTTAACCTCCAGGCCACCACGACATTACAATTGCTATTTTAATAATCATTTAATTTATATTTTGGTTTATTAAAAACATTGCTTTCCTCTAGGACCCTCTCGTGGGTGCGTTCATATACATTTTCATACAATTATCAATAAAGTGCACATCACACCCAGACCCGGAACAACAATTTGTGGATTACACAGTGTTGTTCCCAGCAGAAATAAAATCCGCGACGGGTTGCATGGGACCAGTCTTACAGTTATTTATCATTTCTACCTTAGGGAGGTTAAATAACCCAAAGCCTGTGTTAACCGTACTTAAAAGAACCTTATCCTTATTTTATATTCAGTATATAAATTATGCATACTTATAGACAACAAAGCACCTCCAGTCCAAACATGACATTACCTCAGTTTTCCCCAAGGAGGTACACAGTCAGTCGAACTCTTCAAAATTCTTCCCTCTTTTGTAGTCGACTAACAAAAGCTAAAAGTTCCGTTCAACAATTTGAAACTCATTCAATTTCCCAAAGTAATTGTTTAATACTGCGCAGTTTACGTCGTTGCAAAGGAATCTTGGGACCTAACTAGAGAAAAAAAATAGAAGGAATGCCTTGTCTATTTGAACCATCCAACCAAACACCATGATGGATATGCAACCCTAATACTATCTTTTAGGAAAAAAAATGCATCAGTGCGACTATTTTATGTTTAATTTTATCTTTTTTTCTTTTTATATCTCATAAAATGAAGTTTGAAAACCGCTTCAAGGTCGAAAGTCAATCTATTATTTATATTCGCCCTAGATGAGCTGCCAGTCAGAGAAGCTTCCAGCAAATCAATCACGAAGCTTGAAGGCTCACACAAAGGCTATTGTACTAGCATAGGCCTTGATTTCGTGGTCAATTTTAAAATCAAGCTCGAATTCATTGTTGGATCTTTCGTATATTTAAAGTTGCAGGTGTGACCGCAATGGGTTTTTATTCATTGGATGAATTTTGGATAGGCACACAGCTATTATTATTTGAGAATAAATGGTAGAGAAGGAAAGATATTACCAATATTAATCTAGATACTGGGGGTATCTACTCGACTGTCTCGATGGTCGAATGATCTCAAGTGCTACAGACAAAGGAGTCTTGGTTTTAATCCCTTGTCGTGCAAAAAATAATCGGGGACTTTTCGTTTTTCTCTAATTTTTCTAGTACACAATTTACAGTGCTACTAGTACGTAGTACGAGTATGAGTACATAGTCTGAAATTGTGGACTTTAAAATGATCTTTCGGTGGCGGTATTTCAGAACCAATATGATCTACGCGCGTTTCTTGATGGATTGAACCTTCAAAAAACGCGCATACTACTTTTTTTAAGTCCAGCAACGCGCCTGTGACTCCTCCGGTGTTGCAGGTGTCCATGAGCGGCGATGATTATTTACCTTCCTTCTCTCGTTAGCCTTTGGCATTTCCATAAAAAATAGTTTAATCTCCTGTTATATGGTACTTTTAATAGTGTCGCTATAAATGATAAAAATTGAAAGTACATTGCTTGTGTAGCATCTTGTGTGATTATATACAACTCTAACCATCCCATAGGGGATAAAAGGCATGACGGTATAATAATATATATGTACCTCGATACACACAAAAATATACAAACCAAATTGAAAACTTGCTTTCTTCAAGTCTGTTAAAAATATTTTGATGAGTTTCCAAGAAAGTGGTCTCATGAATGTCTGTATTTACTTTGCTAGTCCATTTGGTATTCATAATACTGCGTAGCTGAACGAATCGATATATTTTGTCTATAAAGGGAACGCGTTTGATTGCTTCTGTTAAAACCTCTTTAAAAAAAGAGGCTTTTTGCCCCATTCCCAACCCATCATCAGCCTATACCCACTGCTGAGCAAAGCTGTTCTCGAAGAAGGTTAGAGCATTAATCACCACGCTTGCTCAATGCGGGTTTGCGGTTTCAAACTTATTATAATTGGAAATTATAAGTCCAGGTTTCCTCACGATGTTTACCTTCACTGATGTCAGTGGTGTCTAAATAATCATAGAAAGTACATATAACTCGGAAAAAGTCACATTAGGACTTGCCAGGTTTCGAACACACTCATGCGTGAGAAGCGAGCTCCTTAAAATCCGGGCCACCACGGCATCCCCAAACCTCTAATCCCTAATAAGATAATCTCCAGAGAGGTCGATAGCATGCTTGTAACTCCTCTTAGGTTGCAAATATTCATGGACGATGCCCAACGCTTACCACCAGGTGATTCTGTGCAAACCGCTAAGGTGTAAAGTCCCTTGCTTTTTTTCCAGGGAACCTAGGTCTCTTCATGTTCTGTTTAATAGGTTTCACATACATAAGTAAGCGTACTCCATAGAGTATGCTAGATTTTTGGAGCATAGTAATGGATAAGTAAGATCGATATTAATTGTGTCTTTTATATTATTTTTGATATTGATAAGTATTTCCCAAAATGTTGGTCAAAAATCTAAACTATTGGTCCATTAAATACGACATGATGGAACTACGCACCATTGTTGCTTCAAAATGTGTTAAATTAAGTTGGCTTTTATGACAATAATTTAATTACGTATTACTTTGGCAGCACACACTTCCCTTTAGCTCTTCGATATATAAGGTCCGATAAATCAAAGGAAAAAAGGGCCCCATTTCAAAATCAATTTTGTCTGCGTGACTGTCCATTTGTCACGACTCACGACCCTTTTTTTCAAGGTCACGTGGTATTCACTTGAGATTGATTAATCAGGTATGTGTAAAAAGCATATTGAACTGTGAGACGCCGTATTGTGATGGCAGGATAGGATATTTTTTTTATTTTCTCTTCTCGCTGGTACTGTAAAGGCAAACGGTGCAGTACCTATTTAAACAGAAGCTACGCCGTCAGCATTTTATCGAGCTGCCATGACGGTCATGGTGCTAGTAAAGTATATATTCATCATAAGTAATCTATACTAATATTATAAAGAGGTAAAATTTGTAAGTTTGTATGTAGGTGGTAATCCTTCGAACCGCTGGTCGGATATCCAAAATTATTTCACTGATAAATGGCTACAATATTGCTGAATGCTATAGGCTATAAAATATCACGCTACGGTTAAATGATCAAGCAGGTTCATTCGTCACGAATGAACCTGCTTGATAGGAGTGTTACCACGGCCTCATAAAAAATTGGCGTGAAACAACTACAGTATTGTATTTGAGCATGTCTGTGAGGTAACCGGAAGCCTAATCCTTCTATTCTCTGATCCCTTAATCCTCAAAACCTCTTAAACAATCAGCAAAGCTTGTTTCCGTATGTTCCCCGTTAGTTGCCATGTCACATAAAATAAATAAATAAATCAACACAGTCAGCTCAGACGCTGTCCTGGCGATTTGTGGGTGCGGTTGGCGCGGCGGCTGGAATACCTACATATTATGTGTCTAAGAGCCTTAGATGCTAGATGCTAGAATGATGACTGATACTAGAGTAGGGGTGCTAGATTTAATTTTAATAGAGGCTGGCATTATCTGATATATCTGAATCCCTTAATCTCTACGCCAAGCGTAGAGAATATATAAAATAATATGTATAATGTCTCTAATACAGAGTTGGACCATTACGCAGCCTACTGTCTAGAACGAACTGTAAATTCTTTTGTGTAACATTTTATTAAATCTAACGTTAAAAATTTTACTCACATTGAAGTTTGTTAATTAATTAAGGTCTCAAGAAGATATCAGTGCTTAGCCACACGCTTTTTGGTAAAATTTCTTCATCTTCTTTTCAAATTGGTATAGATTAATTTTCAAGGGCAAAAATCCTTTGTTGAAAACAATCTATTACTTTTATTGGTGGAGCCTAGTAGTTGAGTGGTTTTATTGAGTTTGAGCCAAGCATTACAATGTCAAAAAGAACAGAAATTTTTGACTAATACTTCTGGGAGTATTGAATGGGCCAACTGGTACTGGTATGGGCCAACTGGTAGGTAAATGGCTTATTTTCTACAGGGCGATTATCTGAATTGGCAAAAAGTGAGTATCACTATTTTAATACTACCCTTACGCAGAGTAACGTTTTATAGCCTTATTAGATAAATGAAATAACAGATACAAAAATAATTGTTCAATTGGAACCAGTACTTCCAGAGATTAAAGAGTTCAAACAAACAAACAAGTTTAAGTGTGGGAGAGCCATGCTTCAGCACGAATGGGTCGGCTCGACAGGAGTGATACCACGGCCTCACAGAAAACCAGCGTGAAACTACCACAGCGGTGTGTTTCGCCGTATGAGTGAGGTTACCAGAGGCCCAATCCTTAGAATTTGTGGTATTTTTGTGTTATAGCTTTCGAGTTAAGCATTTTCGAAAAAGAAACTCCATTATGTTTATAGTTTCACTAATACATTATTTAGTATTATATTATTTTACCCATATGAAAGAACAATGCAATGAGAAAAGTTATTAAAAAAAAGAACAAATGATGGGATCTATTCCTCATCATTAAATATAGGTGATATTAATTTTAATGAATTCATTTCCTTTTCATATTTGTTTGAGCTTATTTATTAAGTACATACGCATGGACGTCTCGTGTGGAAATAAGGCGCCTGCTTCTTATGAATGAGCGTATTTAAAAATCACTAGGCTTAGACTAGGTTTGGACTTTTTCCGAATAAAATGCACTAACTACTAATAAAAATATATCTAATAACTTAGTTACTAGATAACACTAGCACGCTTTAAGAAAACTTATGAAAATGATTTATAATTTCAAGTCAAAGTTAAGAATCGCCTATCCATCCTGAGCAAGCTTGGTGATAATGCTCAAACTTTGTCCGTGTGAGAAAATTCCTTGGCTTGGCTTCCTGACTGATACCTAATGATGAAGTTTATTCGTTTATAACCCCATTTATTAAAATTACTAAAATGTCTCTTGGACAATTGTATAGTCTCATTGGCATATCGGCCTTATGAAATCGCTCCAATGATATTATTATCTTTCTATAAATATTAGGTAATACGAATAATTGGTCTAGACTAGTCGACCTGTTACCTATTCGACCGCTATTGTTATAAACGTCTAGATTCTACATCAAAGGTTGAGAGTTTCTTGAGATAATACTGATGTCGTAGGTACCAATTTCAGGGTAGTTTCCTAGATTTCAAATCAATTAAATATTTAAATATAATCATACTTTGATCACGTTATGTGATTCAAAGAATTATCAGACCACCACAAATGGGGCTTATCAACCGCCACAATAATGGTACTCGGCCCCATCCCGGAGCTGGTGAGATTTACCCAGAGATTTACCCGCTTTACCCAGAGGGGCAGAAATCATTGCTGATCTCCACCCCTCTCCTGTTTCTGTTAATGAGAAATAGCGTAAGTAGTCATTAAATCTTTCTAAGTATCTAAGGTTTTTAGTTATATCAGTTACAAACCTCTCGCAATCACAGAAATCAAAATGTGTTTGTTTGTATTTCGTTCACGTCGCTATGGAGCGATTCTCTGATATGATTTATGAGCCTTTAAAATATATGAATGGAGATACTGATACGAGCTACTGTGATACAAGCTACTTGTTTCTTTTAACTTTTAACCACGCGAGCAAATTGCGGAAGAAAAGCTTGTTTTATTAGAACAATGATAAATTGTCTCCTACAAGATGCGATGCAACTCGTAACAAGAATATACTCAGTATTTTATTTTCATTTTATTTTGAACGAGGCAACAAAATTTTAAAGTAGCAGTCATTTTTCTTGGCCGTCACTCGTGTCTGGTATAAGAATTATGTCTGAATTAATTATATTAAAAGGCATATAATGACTACGATAATCACGACATAAGTTTGTTTTTATGAACAGATTTTTTTTTCAATTTTATGCAATAAAAAGCTTAATAAAAATCGCACTTGTTTTGAGAATTTTTTTTTTACTTGCAATAAACCAGTGCTTGACTGCGATCCCACCTGATGGTAAGCAGTGATGTAAGGCGCACTAGTTTATTAAGAGCCTATTCACTCTTAGCCTTGATCTGAAGAATCCTTAATGCCCCTGGGGTACATGGTAGCGAATTCTCCAGCTCTTGTTTTAGAGTGTTAGTGACAAGTTGAAAACCAACGTCAAACAACCGAAGCGTTGTGTTTCACCATGTAGGTGATGTTTTCAGAGGCTCCATCCTTCCGTTCTATCTACTGCTTTTAAATTTATCGAGAAAGTGGCAAGAAGACATTATGTGGTATTTTTCCTCCTCAAATAATATCTTCTGATTTATTTATGTGCGGGATCCAAGACAGTCTGAATTCATATCCGTGAGATGCAAGATGCCACTTCAGTGTTTTAGTGTTTTCATGTATTATATCTTCTATAGATCCCAGCATACAGGAGTTCCAGTAGTTTAACGAGGTTGTGTCCCATAAAACATCCTTCCTTTTTCCTCATTCCCAATTTCTAAATCCCCAGTTCTTAAATCTTTAAGAAGAGGAGTTGCTAAAACTCGCATTTATTCTGGTGTTACAGCTATACGATTGTCACTAATTGCTTACTTTCAGGTATCAGGTGAAACATACAATTTAGTGTATACAATTGTGTGTTTAAGCAACTGAAACAATGAAACAATGAAACAATGAATTTATTTTTGCAAATAGGCCATAAAACGGCACTTTTACACGTCAATTTATATGTGAAAAACTAGATGAAGCCGGCATTTCCTATCTGACTACTCTGAGAAGAAATGCCGAAACAAACTCAGAGGTCAGTCTCTTTTCAAGCCCAGACAATGTAAAAATAACATAATGTGAGAGAATCGTGCAAGTTCATTCTGTAGTGGTCTTTTGAGGAAAGAACCACACCAGTTTAAGTGGACCCGTTCTGAAGACAGGCACGCAAGTGTCAGTTTGCAACCAGTATAGCTAGTGCTGCTGAGTTGTCCGACGAACAATACCGATCTAAAGAACATTTGGGTGGGTCGTGCAAGTACTCAAACTGTCAGAACGCAGATAACTGGTAATCAAAAAGCACGGCAAGTCTCACACGGTCCTTACACTAACAATAATATAAAATAATAAAAATGTCAATAAATAAATAAAAAAAAAATGTCAAATAAAAAATAAAATGTCACAATAGGTGATTATGTCATTGTATAAAAAATAAACGTAATGTCAAATTGTATATAAAAGTGTAACTTATGTTACAAACATGTCAACATGACCTGCGCAGATATTACAGCGGCTCATTCCCATGCCTGACTATCCTCTAAGTAGTCTTTTATTTTATAAAATGCTTTACAGCAAAGTTTAGCCTTTATTACACTTTTAAATTTATTGAGGCTCAAATTTTGAATATCGCTAGGAATTTTATTGTAAAAGCGTATACATTGACATCTAAACGAACTAGTTAATTTCTGAAGCCTGGAGGCAGGGACAACATATTTGTTTTTCCCCCTCGTGTTAATATTATGTATATCACTATGCTTCTTAAATAAGCTTTTGTTTTTATGAGCGTGAATTACATTTTCATAAATATATTGTGAGGCAACCGTCATTATCTTAGTTTCCTTAAATAATTCTCTGAGCGAATGCCTCGGACTAAGATTATAGATTGATCGAATAGCCCTTTTCTGCAGAACAAAAATAGACTGAATGTCAGCAGCATTCCCCCACAACAAAATACCGTATGACATGATGCTGTGGAAATAACTAAAATAAACTAACCGCGCTGTATCTAGATCTGTTAAATTTCTAATTTTTTTAACGGCATATGCTGCAGAACTGAGCTTCTTCGACAAGCCATCTATATGAGGGCCCCACTGGAGCTTAGCGTCCAGGGTTATACCTAAAAAGACAGTTGTATCTACAGGACTCAACTCCTCGCCCTTGACAAGCACACTGGTTTTTACCTGTTTAACATTTGGTGTTGTGAATTTAATACATTTAGTTTAGTTCTGTTTGTTCTACAACTGTTTTATTTATTTAAACTTAATGCAGCAAAACATTACACAGGCGGACTTAATGTCGTAGGCATTCTTACCAGTCCACGTTAGTGTGATGCAGAGAAAATATGGCAACAGGTAGAAATGAGCATGAGAATGATATGGTACTCTTTCTGTACCATATCATTCTATATTCACCAAATAATGGACCTGTACTATCAGTGCAATAAGTGCACGAAGCTCTCCATGCACTTTTGCCGCCATTACTACATTGGATTACTTTAATATCTTCAATCTTCACTACGTTTTCATATGTGACCTAGATAGAAAATAACATTTTTCCTTATACGACAATTCATATCTGATCTCAGTTTCCACGCGTACGAACGAACAATAGAAGAAACAAGTTCTGTCTAAAGAGTCAAAATATATTTTGTAGAGCAGTTTCATTGTTCACTTATTTTCTGGGAATCCTGGATCAACAATCTAGTTTTATTAGAATCTTATGATACTTGGCTTTCAGGTCGGTCGAAATGATTTTCGGCGAAAAATAATTTTATGTTCTCCATAAGTGACTTGTTGAAGCTTTGTTTTACTTACAATACAACATTTTTTTGTTTTTCTTGAATTTCTCAGTAAAAATATGCATGGAATCGGATTATACATATTGTTTAATCAGACAGTGAGTTTATTTCTTTTGAGGGTTAAATATACCGTCTTCTAACCCCTTGGGTTTCGGGATTTGTCAAGGGAATTTTCTTGCATCACACTTGAACTTTTGACCTTATTTGCGACCTATTTCGAGTATCTAAAATTGCGAGAATATAAGATTTAATACTATTAAAGCCTTCTCTTCGTGGAAGGTCGGCTGCGAAAAATTAATGGCGTAAAATAGAATTAAGTAGATGCTTATTTAGAGATCAAAAAGATATTATAATAAAAAAATATGTGGTATAAAACATATTTTACCATGACAATTAAAAAAGTCATTACCAAAATAAGTGCTCGTTATTAATTATGTTTTTGTGAGATAAGGTGGCAATATAGCATTTAGATCACCTGAAGGCAAGCAATTAATCAGCCCATGGACGCTCGCATTCAATTCTTACACTTCTTTATGGAGATGAAAATTTGGGGATTGGAAATACAGGGATCGCGATTGAGAGATGAGTATAGAGAGAAGAGAAAAGGACGGGGTTACCACTCTCACGTATCACAACACAATTCAGAGCATTTTAAAAAGGATATCATATTAAATTTTTAGATGATTGTTGCTAAATTGCTCGGTCTGAGTTTAAAGCAAGACAGGGCTGCGGGCCAAGCGCATTGACCGCGGCCTGCCCCTTTCAGAAGTTGGAACGAAGTTGTTATTAGTCAGTAAAAAGATATTCTCTCTATCGTCTCACCAAAGATGTGAGAAACCATTCGATTATTTTCCACCTTAAGCAAGAGGTTCAAATAAGAGAGACATAGTTAACGGATTGAGCTATCCTTATAATACTGACAAGTTTTATTGAATTTGATTACCTAACATTTTTTCTAATATCAGACCAGTGGAAGTTTGTGAGTATGAATAGAAGAATGAGTATTTGTATCTTTGTGTGATTTACAGGTTATTATGGTTTTTGAACGTGTATTGTATATTTGTAAATGCACTTATGACACAGAAGAAGTTTTTAGTGTTGGACAACCTTTAATTTAAAATGTTTGGTTAAACCATATTTGGCTTAGAGATAAATTTTAATCTGGGATTATTTATACAACTATTTCTCGCGATAAAACTGCTAGCTGAAGGTAGATATTTACAATTTTTCATAATCAAAGTTTTTTTAACATTCTTTTTGTAAACCAGACTAGCAGTTTTATAGTTTGAACCCACCACAATTCTGTGTTTGACCCTGAGACCTCATTTTCAGCATTCACATTAACTATCACATGTTCTTGCATTACATAAAACAAATGAAATAAAAACACAACCATTTTATTCTCAGAAAAATAAATTGTGTCAAGTGGTTCGTGGAAGTACCAAGGATCAGTAGTGTACCAGTAAATTTTATATTACGGTGTTAGTTAAAAGAAACGCTTCAAACAAGAATTCTTTTAATTTTCTTACTTATATTCTCTAGACTTTTTTTTTACACTAATATTTTTAATGTAGGCAATTTAGCAATTCTATTTTTCATATCTTCTCTTTCTCAAGATGGCTGCCGCTCTTCGTCTAATACGAATCCCGTGTGAATCAGTGAATATACGGGTCTATTAAACTCGGATGGAATTCGAATATTCCTTGAACTATAATTACGGACAGATATGGTGTGTAAACTAGCAAAGAAATAGTTGTACGACCATCACGGACTATATTTTCTCGGGTTTTGAGCGGATTCCGACCTAGTGCGGAGGTGTAGTACTTCCAAAGGATAGTAATTACAAAACTTAAAAAGTATTTTATATAT